GAGGTGGTGTGGCAATCAGATGATTCCCTGCTGGCTGGAGTATAGATCGGGTGACTGTGGCTTCCATCAATAGCAGATTCGACCAACCTTATGCAGCAGGAGCTACACAAAACTGCTCTTAATCAAGACACTTTTATCCCTGAAATTACTTGGCTAAACAATCGAGCAGCTTAAAAAATAACCAAACAAGCGGGGCAGTGGTGGTGCACGCCTTTGATCCTAGAACTTGAGAGGCAGAGGCAGACGGATCTCTAAGTTCGAGGCCAGCCTGGTCTACAGAGTGAGTTCTAGGACAGCCAGGGCTTCACAGAGAAACCCTGTCTCCAAAAACTTAAACAAAAAAAAAGTTACAAAGTAAAACTAAACAATTTAAATACTCAGCACTGGAGAACTGATTAGATAAATGGTAATGTGTTGACTGGTCACACAGAGCTGTGAACCAGTTAAAACTGCTCACAGGAGTGTGCACTGTGATGGAAGTACTTCCCTTAGGACTTAAGATCCATAAAGCCAGAAAAGTGAGCCTGAGGGTACGTGACCTCAGTTGCAGCATTTGGGGGCAACCTGGGTCATGTAGCAATGCCGTCTTTCAAAATGGAAGGGAGAAAGGGAGAGAAGAAAGCATAGAGAAGGAGGAAGAGGAAAAAGAGAAAAGCCAGCTGTTGTGGTGGCAAATGCCTTTGACCCTGGCACTCGGGAGACAGAGACAGGTGATTCTCTGTGAGTTCAAGGCCAGCCTAGCCTACATAGCAAATTTCAGGCCATCCAAAAATACACAGTGAGACACTAACTCAAAAACCAAAAACAAGACTACAAAACGGCACATTATAATCTACTTAGGAAAGGTATTCACACATGAACAAAACTGAAAGCTAATATAGAGAATTAAAATATTCTAGATCATTTCCCCTCCTTTTCAGGATTTTCTCTAATGTTGGTGATATCATATTTTTTTGTTTTAAGAATGGGTTAGACCAAAATGGTACATGGGTTCTGAACCCAGAACTGAGAATTAAAGGCTTATGTTTTCTTGTTCTTCCTTCCTTCCTTCCTTCCTTCCTTCCTTCCTTCCTTCCT